AAGGCGTAAAACTTTCATTGTACAAAAGGAGCTAGGATGCATTCAAACGCCAGCAGAAGGAAGTGTCATCTTGGTTTGCGAATGACAGACAACTGTTGACAGAGAATCAGACGCACACTGTTTGGTGTTTGTCTGAATAAAGACCGTTTGGCTGATGACATGTTTTGTTTCTTTGGTCTCGGCTAATGAGCAGCCTGAGGTGACATTTATTAAAAAGAAAGAAACAAATCAGGCAGGCCGAGGCTTTATGTGCCATTATTATCAGCTCCACTATTGTTGTTTACCACAAGCCAGGCAACACAGTGTGGGAGGTGTGGAGCACGCAAAGCAATTATCTTTAATTGAGGCAGAGAATCACACCATTAAATGAATTATTTGGGTTTTCTTTTTAAACCACAGTCTTTTTAAATAATTGGCTCAGCTTTTAGAAAATAAAGGCTATTTGACAATGTAGCTCTAACACAGCAGTAACCATCAATGGACAAGAATCAATAGTCATGTTCAAATCAATATGTTGACAGCTTTAAAGGCTTTCTCCAATATAATACAGTGGATTGTTCCATAAACCTGCCTTTGTACAGCTCCATAGAATAAACATTCCTTACAAATCCCAATAAGTGTCTTTTCAGCCCTATTTAATAAACGAGAACCAACACTCTTGTCTGTCTTGGATCTACAAGTCTGTTGTGTATTCAGTATTGTCTTAATATGAATTAACCTGTTAAACCCCATGCCCCTGCCGGATATAGTTTTTTCGGCCTAGTGAACGTGTGTCTCTTCCTTGGAGGTGCATTATCGCCCGGACTCCGCGGCTCCTCCGTGCGGAGAGTCTGCAGCGGTGTGTGTCAGCGACGTGCAGTCAGGGGAGGCACGGATTGGCCATCGGGAGAGTCGGGACTGTTCCGGGTGGCCCGCTGCCTTTGGTGGGCCACTGGCCATCTGTGTGTTCTGGAGAATCACAGAACGGCCAGACGTCAACGACCCGGTTCTCTTAAACGCCCCCCCCCCCCACCGTGGACAATTCACGAGCGTCGAGCTCCCCCCTCCGTCTGGTGGAAAGGTTTTTTTTTGGACGGAAACTATAATAGAAAGACAAATAATCTGAATTCAGTCTGCAGTTTACTTTGACGCGGGGGTGAGCAGTAGAGGTGGGGAGAGGCGGGGCTATTGCGTCATCATTATCAGAAAATGATCGTATAGGGCGTACACACGGAGCCGTTGGACCCCCCAGAGCGTTGCGTATGCCGTTCTATCCACCTTGGGACCCGTTATCATTTCCGCAGTTGTTTACGGTCATATTCGGTCATCCTCGTGTGGCCGAACGGTCTATATGACACTAAACAGTAACGCAAACGACCGTTTTCGTCCGCGTGGGGCCGGGGCATGAGTATTTGTTCTTCATGCTAGGTAAATAAATACAGCTGATCATTTGATGGCTGATGTGTTGTTCTCCAATCAAAGACTTAAGCCTACTACATTCCCAGATTACTATAACAGAGGGGTCTAACAGCACTTTGAAACATTACAGGGGTCGACTGTGTGGAGGAAGGCCTCTGATGGAAATCAAGCAATCACTGTATATCTGTGTGGCCCTATACATGAACTCCCCGAGGGATACATGAAACATGACTCATATCCTTTGTATTGTATTTTCCTGGAAATCCCTAGCTAGAGGAACATGATATATTCACATGAAAGCAAAACTGTTTCAAAGAAATGCCCGGCACCTGGTCTAATAAACCTGTTAAATCACAGTGAGGATGAAACAGCGTCGAGTCTTTGGGGACACTCGGGAAAGATGTGATTTCTGAAGGAGCCAGAAAACACGGTGGCTTCAATGGGTGCTCCTGCAGGCTGATGGGGCGTGAAGATGATGAGCAATGGTCCGAAACCCCCCATTATAATGTTTGCATAATGAAGAGACAATTTTCAAAGCTATTACCTTTTGTTGTGAAAGACTGGTTTTAAATATGCATGTCATATCACAATGCCCCAAATGATATCGTTCAGTGATTAAAGAAAGCTTTATTTTTGCTTCAGTGTTTGAGATGACGAAAAGATAGATATTCTTTAATCCATTATCAAAAGAAATAACAAAGACTGTTTCCATGTAGTAAAATCAAAGCCAATTGGCAGCACATTTTGCCCAATTGTTCTGTTATACAGTGGCTTAAAGACACGTTTCAGCAACAATTTGACCAACTTGACCCACCACTGAACAGTTCAACAACATGAGAGAATATAAGTATGCTTTAATGTTTCATATGTTTGAAAAAGATAATTTTTTCATCCTCTAATGCAGGGGGGTCAAACGCAAATACACAGTGGTTAAAATTAAAAAATGGGTACTAGTCGAGGGCCGGACTGGTTCAATGTTTATTGCAAAACGTATTGAAATGAACTTATTGCACATATCAAACCTGGAACTAACAAAGCTTAAATTATTGCCTATAAAAACAACATTAAACATTAAATAATCAGTTGCATTCATTTCTCATGGCTCTATCTGCAGCTTTTCCAGAGTCATTTCTTATGATTACATTTCTCCACAGGACAACAGCAGCTTCAAAAAAACTATTTCCCTCAAAGAGAAAACCAAACATGCCCTGTTGTCATGAGACAAAAAGTGCAGAAGGAAACATCCATGTAAACTCAGTGTGCTGCTCTGTTGCCCCTTTCACACCAACGCGTTTTCAGCTCCGGCTCGGAGCTGGAGCTGAAAAGTACAGTTTTTTCCTGTTCACACCGCAGAGGCGCCGCCTCTTAGCTCCGGAATCCGGTTCACTTCCAGCTCCAAAAAATTGTCGGTCTAGAGGCAAGAGCTTCGGAGCTAAGAGGCGGCGTCGCTTACGTCGAGACAGATTCGTCGTTGAAGTAGATGCTGAAGACCACAAAGAAGTCTTGCATTTCGCATGTGATGTTTGTAAAGTTCCAAGTAAAGTCGTCCGATGCCTTCCATTTAGTTTCGTAAGAGGATAACCAAAGCGAACAGCGCTTCAATACAATCGGCCATTGTTGCTGTTGTCGATGTGAGGGATTTCCGCGCGGTTTGGATTTTATGAAGCAGGCACGTAAACGGTGACGTCATGACGCAGCAGCGGCAGCTCTGGGCGGTGTGAACAGAGCGGGAGCAGAAAAGGGAAACCGGAGCTGAACCAGAAAAGCTCCCGCTCGGAGCTAGAAAGGGAAAAGCGCTGGTGTGAAAGCCGCATGTGATGCTAGTTCAAGCAGATACTTGGCATCTCATCTTGGGTGCAGGTTCATCAATGTTTGGGCTCAGGCTCTGAGCTGAGGAAACCCTCAGGATGGAGTGAAGGTGTGCGTGCAATACACCGGCGGGCCAGATCTAATAGTAATTACAAATTATCCTGCGGGCCGAAATTAAATCCACCAAGGGCCTGATTTGGCCCCCGGGCCTTGAGTTTGACACATGTGCTTTAAAGGAAGATATAAAAAGTGAACCTACAACAACTTTACAATGTTTATATAACTTAACTGGGGTCAACTGGGAATAAGATGGACCAGAAAACGTTGAGATCATAGGTCTAGATGTTGCTCTGAGAACAACTTGTAAGGTTTATAAATATTCTTGAAATGCAATCTGATAACACATGTTGTGTTGGGTGCTGACAGTATGGTCCACTCCACGTGACAATGTGTTGGTCTCATTGCGTCAAGAACATTCACAAAGTTGTTCTACAATGGAGTTGACGTTGCTAACTGATATGAACAGCTGCTGGTGAATCCAGGAACAAATAGGACACTGATGATAAGCTAAAAGGTGCTCTGAAGTAGATAACCAAACACAACAAGGCATTGACAAAGCATTCTCAAAAAGCAATCTGTTAATATTGATCTTTTCCATGTTTCTCCCCATCCTTATAATGATATTAAAACCAACTCATTCCATATCCTATATAGCTCTGGGGAGGTTTTAGTCACGATTCACTTCTGAATGTTTTTATAATTTCAGTATCGACCTTGTAAATCCTGTATACTAAAGATTCCCACCTCTGCTTTCCACTACTTATCCAGAAATAAAAACAAATGTGGTATGCTTCATCCATTATTCATCTTCAGCAAGAAGCTTATCAGAACAGGAAAGGTCATACCAACCAAAAAGAAAAACATTCACTTTGAGGTGAAATCTAAGCAGTTTAGGCAAAACTCTGCCAATCAAAGACCGCTTCCACTGTCACTCGTTCATCTCTTGCACTCTGGTTCTTTACAGAGTCATGATGAAGTGGGACGTAGCGAGAGGTTGTACGAATACATTACCCCTTTGATGAACATGTACAGCGTTGTGGATGCAAAGGCAAACAGTCGGCCCTTTCTGACACACACTGGCTCCGCCTCCTGGTCCCTCCTCCTCCTCTTCTTCTTCTTCATCCTACTCTCCCACTTGCTCACCTTTTCCTCCCTCCTCTTACATGTTGCTCAGTGCTCAGGATGAGGCTTCCGGCCATGTGGGAATTTCTCCTAATAGTTGGTTGAGTCCGGATGTTGGTGAAGACGCTCGTCTATCCGAGGGACTAATTATAACGAGGCAAGCTTTAGGAGACGAAAAGTCAGTCAGCCTTGAGGATTGAAGAAGAATTTATTCCGCTTTCTCTGCCAAAGGAGTTGCTTGTATTTTGCAGAAAGAGCCAGAAACTGGGACTTTTGTTCGATTCGTATCTTACCCAGAAGACGGTGAGTTCATCTTGAATGAAAAAGGGAGAAACTTTTCAGGAGATCTTGATTCCCTGCTGATGACCAGGAGCTTTCTTTGGATACGTAGCTGCTCTGTCACATGGACATTGACACTAAACAGCTGTTGCCTTTACCATCTCGTCTCAGAAAGAAAACTGGACCGTTATATTGCAGTACTGAAAAAACATGTTTGCATCAAAGCACCTCGTACTTAGCAACTGAAGAGGATGAGAGACGGTGTGATGACCTACCTGTATTTGACAAGTGTGTTTTTCACCTCGTTGGAGAGAGGAGCACAGAGGAAAAAAAGTCAGCGAGAGGAAAGAGGGGAGGGGAAGAGCGAGCCAGCGAGGGAAGGTGTGAAGCCAACACTGTGAAGCAGAGGGATAGAGAAGACCAACAGAAAGACACGAGAAACTCTCCCAGACAGAAAACGGAGTAAAAAGGAAAAAACAGCGTTTCAAAGAACTGACCAAACGTCCATTTAACGCCGGAGCATCGTGTTTTGTCAGAGCCGTACAGGGTGAGTATATATTCTGTTTGATGTGGCTTTTATGGCAGGAAATTAAACAGCGAGGAGCAGCTGTCAACTCAATATTCAATATAATCATATTATAAATTCAAACATTGTTAAATCTTCATAACTGATTGAAGCCTGAGTTATTATATTAATAAATCACAAAGTGCTGGGGTTCATCAGATGTCACCAGTGCTTTTAAACTATCGATCTATGGTACGTTTTTAAACAATTTAGATTTAAAACCGTCGATTTTGACACCCATAATGTTGTAAAACGGATTGTTAATCATACATTTGCTTTAATAAGTTGACTGTGAAGGGTTGTTCTGATTTTTCTCAGTAAAAAGTGGGAGGTAGGAGGAGTAGGATGATTTGATTTAAGGTATCATTAATAACCATGGGGATAAAAAGTCACATGATTGGCATCCTAACACTTGTACCAATGTGTTCTTGGAGGTGTAAACACTTCAGGGTTTATCCAAACAAGTTTTAAAACTGATCTAGAGCTGAAACAACAGGGGCTTAGTTGTGTGCAGAAACATTTGCAGGCAACCATTCAAATATTTAATTATGTCAGTTATGTTTCAGGGAACAACTTGTTGACGCTTTTTTGATTTTCTGTAACGGATGATTGTTTCATCATCAACTAATTATCACATTTATTTTATCGGTTAATTGATCAAAACACATCTGAAAACTGAAACAAATATCCATTACTATCCACAATTGAACTGGCGTCATCAAATGTCGTAAAAACAAAAAATATGTATTATTTTGAGACCCCAAAAAAACTGGTTATTCTAAGAATGTGAGACATTGCATTAAAAATGACAAAATCACTCGTTAGTCAAATAGTTGCACTTTTTTTTTTCCTTTCCAATGAATAATTGTAGCAGCTATAGAATAAGTTCAAGGACAACAATAAGGCTCGTGGTTTAAATTGTTTAGAAATTACACAACCCAAAAAAAACATTGTTGAATTGAGAGAAAAAAAAGGCAGAATTATCAATTATTGAAATAATGAGTTATAATTACAGCAGCAGTAACTTTGTTCTCAATCAACAGTTTTAAGTCATGTTGAAATGTACATATTGCCTTTCTCTACTATATGATTGTAAATCGAATAATTTTGGATTGATGGTCACCTGGACGACTTCTTGGAAACTGGGTTGGGCGTTTTTTTTTTTATCATCGAGGCAAATCATTGAGAAGCAAAAAAAGCAGTTTGACGGAATTCAACATTTTTGCAATCCTGAAGTGACCTCCCTTTTGTGAAACTACAAACGGTATTTAAGGATGAAAGTGGGTAGACAGTTCTGTGGGGTGATCTCAGTGTCTCTGATCCACCTGCTGCTTTATTTAGCCTCGCACTTTCCTCCCCTGGCTTCATCATAATCAGCCGGTGGAGGGAAACGAACCACCTGTAATGCTTTGTTTCCTATATTTTCTCCCGGCAGACGGTCCACGAGCAGCCTCATTCCTCTGCTTTGACGCCAGTTTCCTCCGGTCTCGGCGGATAATCAAGTATCCATAACGACACCGGAATATATATAATTTAATGGCATGATTGGGACTATTCATCTCGGTTAGGAAAACGTCCTTGTGTTTGTAAATCTAGTTAGCAGAATCACTGAAGCTCTAATGCGATTTCCCTTTGTCTCATTATGATTGAGGCTCGAAAGGTGCCCATTAGCAGCCTTGGTAAACTACGGCTGCGGGGGAGGAGGATTGATCCTTGTGTTAATGTGTACAGATAGATGACCGCGTAAGGATGTAAATAACCACCTTTTCCCCAAGACATCACACACACACACACACACACACACACACACACACACACACACACACACACACACACACACACACACACACACACACACACACACACACACACACACCTACTACGTACTACACTACACACACACACACACACACACACACACACACACACACACACACACACACACACACACACACACACACACACACACACACACACACACACACACACACAACACACACACAGCATGTGTGCATTACCCCTAGCAACAGCACAATCAACCCCAAACAATGCGAGACGAGACAATAAAATCACTTTCAGGTTGAAAACAAGTATACAAATGTTCTTCTTAGTGGGTTTTAATTCAATCAATATGTCCGCCCTTCGCTGAAATTCCTCTCAAATAAAAGCTTTCTGCACAAAAGCAGCTTCTTCGAGCACCATTGGTGACATTTGTTCCAGTATCAAAAGCACCAAGGTTTAATCCTTGAGAAGTTAACTCGGTCTGGACGTCATGAAGACATCCTTCCTGACACAGCGGATCTCTCTCAGCGTTCAATGTAATAATAGACGGTGTAATCAGAGTCAATCAAAAACCCATGAATGCTGAAAGCACTTGGGATGTTTGGACAAGCAGTCGGGGCCACGTAATCGCCAGCTACGAGTCACAAGACAACAGAAATCAAAATGACCTTCAATTCAAATCAAACAGTATGTTTACATAATTTCCCTGTTAGGCTCCATTTTTCCAAATCACACCGAGTACTGCAGCTCTCAATGGAGCCTTAGTAAATAAAACTCAGCCACTGTGTGACTCAATTGAATATTTCTGAATAGATCATCAGGGCACAATTCATTGAGAAGTCTTTATAGACCTTGAGATTGAAGGTTTTGAATTAATACACACGGAGCGAGGTAATAAAAACGTCAAGGCTCTGTGTCGGAATCACTGCTGCAGCATTGGGAAGAAAGATTGAAATTGAAAGATAAACTGAGGTTACATAAATGGAGATTATATAAACATCAGTGACAGGTTCAGCACCAGAACATCTTAGGTAGAACGTAAGAAAGAAAGGAGTGGGATGTAAAGGCCGCAGCATTATTGTAGTGAAAGAACAAGTACTCAGATCTTTTACTGATATGCAACTAGCAATACTAACAGTGTAGAAATACTGTGTTGCAAGTAAAAAAAAAAACCTGCATTCATAAGTGTCAGCATCAGATTATAGATACAATATTCATTATGCAGAATGGCCCATTTCAGAAGAATCTGTATTATGGTAATAAATTATGATTACTTATGCACTAATGCTGCAGCTGGTATTAGTGGAGTTTATATATATGTATATATACTGCTAAGTAGCTTGGGAATATTCCCCCAGGGGATCATCTTCTCATTTTTACCTATAATACTACACACTATATTTGCTAATCTATCAATAATCAACAGCAGATGCATTGAAAAAAGAAAATATATACAGTATATTGTGAAAATAGAAAATAGTTGATTATTATCATCTTTTCAAATACTGACAAATAATCTCAATTTATGTTAAAGGGGACCTATCATGCAAAATGCACTTTTTGATGTCTTTTATACATAAACATGTGTCCCCGGTGTGTCGGGGAACTCACGCAGCGTCAGAAAATAAAACCCTCTCTCTTTTCCTCCGTACCCAAATCGTCTAAAAACGGGGGTACAACGGAGCTGATCCAGATTTACGTCCGATATGACGTAATATCTGAAATGTGGACCCACGGCCCAATCAGAAACGTTGCTATCAGAAACAATGCCAGACGGTTTAGGACGTAATATGGTCGGTGTTCACATTAACATCGCTAACACTCAGAGCTAACCTGTACTGGAGAGCATGTGTGTGAAGAAGCAGGAAGTAAAAAGGAACTCACCTTGTGGTATAACCGGCAAGAGAGAAAGCCTTTGAGCTCCATACTGTTTCAGAAATAATCCTTGATAATCCACGATATGGCGTTTCATCACGGCAGTATTTAGTTTAGACGGTAGCTGCCGGGTCCCGCATTAGCTCAGCCCCTTATTTTTTTATCAATTTAAAAAAAAAAAAACCTTTATACCCCAAATCAGCACTTTTGAAATAAAAGGATATGAGGCATGGCTAGAATGGGTGATCTGTTTGGTATTTTGAGCAAAACACTTCATAGACATGTTTCTTATATATTTTTATTAGGGCTGTCAAGTTAACGCGTTAATAACGCCACTAATTATTTTAACGTGCGATTAACGCATGTGTTTTTGTCCTCGGCCCGCCCCGTAGTTTCAGAGCCCAAAGGCTTGACGTTGTTGTTGTTGTTGTTGTTGTTGTTAGTTGGATGGTGGGAGATTCTAGCGAGAGATATGGACACAAAAAAAGGAGTTTTAAACAGCAAGCCAAGCACACAGCTGATGCTGACAGCCCCGCTCCTGCCGCTCGCTTGCGGCAGAGCACGGTTGAAAGTTTTCCGGGGAGAAGCCTGGACAACAACAGCGATAGCTAAATGGCTACAGCTTAACATTGTGGAGGAGAGGGGCTGCGTTAGATCATTCGGATCACATCCAACGTGTCGACTGCACATCACAGCGCATTATTTTGACCCACAGTGGGAACTTCAGTCTCATGCTTTGACTGTTATGAAGACAGAGGAGCGGCATTTCGCCGACAACTGTAAACAGGCTTGTCTGTTTGAGCGACTGGCTCAGTGCAGAGAAGTACACAGGGTGTAAGAGAGAGAGAGAGAGAGAGAGAGAGAGAGAGAGAGAGAGAGAGAGAGAGAGAGAGAGACGTAGTAGTAGAGAGAGAGAGAGAGAGAGAGTAGAGAGAGAGAGAGACGAGAGTAGACGAGAGAGAGAGAGAGACGAGAGTAGTAGAG